AGCAGCCCGTGACAGCTGACTAACTCCCAGGTACCTATTTACTGCTAGGTAACAGGGGCACTTAGGGTGAAAGAAACTTTGCCCATTTATTTCTGCCTCGTGCGGGAATCGAACCCGCGCCACAGAATTACGAGTCCTGCGCGCTATCCACCAGGCTACGAGGCCCCCGTAGTGTGTGTGTGTGTGTGTGTATGTGTGTGTGTGTACTCACCTAGTTGTGTGTGTGTGTACTCACCTAGTTGTGTGTGTGTGTGTACTCACCTAGTTGTGTTTGCTTGTGTGTGTACTCACCTAGTTGTGTTTGCTTGTGTGTCTTGATGTGTGTGCATGTTACTTCTCATAGTTGTAGGTCTTCTCTCATAGCTCTATGTTACTTATATCTGTGTCACTTCCCATAGTTCTGTCACTCCCCATAGTCCTATGTCACTTCTCACAGCTCTATCTTATTTATTTTTATGATTACACTACTGAACAATTTTTCAAAATTGATTTGCTTCTGAGATGACAAGAGCTGTTTTATCATGAACTTTGACATGCTGAATAATAGTGAAAATTGTTGATTAGTTATTGTTTTATGTGGTAATATAATATTGGTTGATTCAGCAAGTGATGGTTGCTGAACGTTTTCTCTCCCCCCCCCCCCCCAGGCTCCAGTGATGGCAAGAGTGGCCGGTCTCTCAGGACACTATAGAGGGAAGCTCTCACACCACTCTCACACTCACACTCACACTCTCACACCACTATCCCACTCACACTCTCACACCACTCTCACACTCACACTCACACTCTCACACCACTCTCACACTCACACTCTCACACTCACACCACTCTCACACTCACACTCTCACACCACTCTCACACTCACACTCTCACACTCACACCACTCTCACACTCACACTCTCACACCACTCTCACACTCACACTCTCACACTCACACAACTCTCACACTCACACTCTCACACCACTCTCACACTCACACTCACACTCTCACACCACTCTCACACTCACACTCTCACACTCTCACACTCACACTCTCACACCACTATCCCACTCACACTCACACTCTCACACGACTCTCCCACTCACACTCACACTCGACTATTCCACTCACACTCTCACACGACTATCACACTCACACTCACACAACTATCACACTCACACTCTCACACGACTCTCCCACTCACACGACTCTCCCACTGACAAAGAGAACATGAGTCCCTCGTGTAGCCAGCCTGCAGACTCATCACAAGAGCAACAACCCCCAAGTCCTCCTCAGAGCTGCCACTGTTGTTGGTCATCGTTAATGTCCCTCAACAGCTGCTTCATGCTGTCATCTTCCCCTCACACACGCTGCATAACCCACTCACTACTCCAACTTAATTGGAAACACGATGGAATTGGGTTAATCCAAACCCGATGGAACTGCTGGCAAAACACTCCCATTATACGGCAAAACAGCTTCAAGATTCCTCTTGGATGAAAACCAGAGATAATCAACAAATTTAACCATCATTTCTGTTCTTAATGATTCAGAATTAGCGAAGATTTACTTTATTTCTTTCAGAAGCGCTTTGGCTGTAAACCTGTCAGGAATAAGATTAAGGAGATAACAATGTGTGAATTTATTGACTTCTCAGCCAATTAATAGTTTCGAATGAGTAGAACGGCTTCCGAAGGTTTTCTTCTAGCCAAAGAATATCCGACAGACTAAGAGTATTCTATACGCTTGGAATAAGCTCTTTGATCATCTTGGTCCACGGTAATTGTTCCCTCCGGGCTGACATGTCCAGGTAAGGAGATGAGCAGAGATTTGTGCACCAATTAACTTAAAGATCAGATGTGTTGTGGGGTTTCAAGGAGCTGTTAAGACGCCAGACAGACCAATCAATCACACCTCAACACCTCTTGGCCTCTCAGAGCCTCACTCTCCCCTCACCACCGCGTCAATATTTCACTTCAGAATGGCTACAGAAATTGCTAATTCAGTTAAAAGATAAAAGTTATGAGTGGAACATAAATAATAATAATAATAATACTAATAATATTTCTTCATGATATTAATAATAATAATATTTAATAATAATAATAATAATAATAATGAGAAAATCAACTGGAACCATGTGGAGGGTTCGAACCAGCAACATTGGTACTACGAAGCACGCACCTATAACCACTGCACCACGATACACTACTAAGTACTGTAGTCTGTGATAGCCAAACTGACAATATCAGTGCTTCTGCCTCAATAGGTTAGACGCTGGGCTGTACATCTGTACGCTTCTGGTTACGCCAAAAGGTTGGATTTTTCACCGTGTCAAATTAAAAGAACGAGAATGTTCGCATGAGAAAGTGTTTGTTTACTAAAAGGACATCAATATATATATGAAGTACCGCATGGAAAGCGACGCTTTATGAAATCCTGATTTTCATATGTCCTGTACAGCGATTCGGGATTGATCGTAGTCATTGGAAATTTTGACTCGCAAGGAACGTAGCTCACAGAGACCTTGGCCCAAAAGGATCTTGGTCCACAGAGACCTTGGCCCAAAAGGACCTTGGTCCACAGAGACCTTGATCCACAGAGACTGGTCCACAGAGACCTTGGTCCACAGAGACCTTGGTCCACAGAGACTTTGGTCCACAGAGACTTTGGTCCACAGAGACCTTGGTCCACAGAGACCTTGATCCACAGAGACTGGTCCACAGAGACCTTGGTCCACAGAGACCTTGGTCCACAGAGACTTTGGTCCACAGAGACCTTGATCCACAGAGACCTTGGTCCACAGAGACCTTGGTCCACAGAGACTTTGGTCCACAGAGACTTTGGTCCACAGAGACCTTGGTCCACAGAGACCTTGATCCACAGAGACTGGTCCACAGAGACCTTGGTCCACAGAGACCTTGGTCCACAGAGACTTTGGTCCACAGAGACCTTGATCCACAGAGACTTTGGTCCACAGTGACCTTGGTCCACAGAGACCTTGGTCCGCAGACTTTGGTCCACAGAGACCTTGGTCTACAGAGACTTTGGTCCACAGAGACTTTGGTCCACAGAGACCTTGGTCCACAGAGACTTTCGTCCACAAAGACCTTGGTCCACAGAAACTTTGGTCCACAGAGACCTTGGTCCACAGAGACTTTGGTCCACAGAGACCTTGGTCCACAGAGACTTTGGTCCACAGAGACCTTGGTCCACAGAGACTTTGGTCCACAGAGACTTTGGTCCACAGAGACTTTGGTCCACAGAGACCTTGGTCCAGAGACTTTGGTCCACAGTGACCTTGGTCCACATAGACTTTGGTCCACAGAGACCTTGGTCCACAGAGACTTTGTGTTAGGAACCCAACTCCATCGTCGGAGTATGGAGTAGCAACGTCAACGCCATCTGTGAGTCTGCTCCCTAAACCCCCACTAAATGGACGACGCCATCTGATGGTGGCAGTATGATACCTGCAAGGGACTCTAGATTCCTGCCTTGGTCAGCCCGAAGAGTCGCTGTTGCTGACCTCTGGAGAGGTGGCGCCTAGAAAATCAGCGCCATCTATTGTGGGAGGAGGTGTATGTCAATGTCAGAGTCTGTAAGTGGTATTTCCTAGTGTCCCCAGTACTGGCCAGTTTACTGATGACGTGTCTGTATCCACAGAGGCGACGTAGGGCTGCTGTGGTACGAGGACAGTCAGTCTACCCAGTGCAGCCTGTTATCTCTCTACTCCATTCTGCTTTACGTGAGTAGTGAGTGTCGCCGAAGAGGAACTGAGTAGTATCTGCTGTCTGTCTGTGAAGTGGCAGTGACAGAATTCGACGTATCCTGGGACTGGCTAGAGGAAGAGACGACCGACAGTAAGGTGCTACGGAGGAGTGTAACTAGCTAGTTGCAAGAAGCTCCTGCCAGGGGTTCGCTACCCTTGTATTTGTTCGTGAAGCAACCTGTCCTCTTAAAAAGAACGTCGCTTTTGGCCGTTTGCCCGTATGGCCGAATTTGGACGTAATTTGAAAATGAAAAAAAAATGAAAACAAATTTGGAAATTTTTTTTCAACAACAGTAAGTTAAGGGTCCTCTGATAGGTTAGGTGGGCAGGAAATTCTTATAAAGTTTCAAAACGTTATGAAAAACGTTAATTTAAAGTGTCCTCTTATAACCTCTGCGCGTAGGCAGGACGACTCAAACAGAAAACGGAACAGAACGTCACTTTTGTGAGTCGATTTCATTTCAAATTACGTCCAAATTTAGCCATTTTTTTTTTTTTTTTTTTTTTTTTTTTTTTTTTTTTTTTTTGAGATATATACAAGAGTTGTAACATTCTTGTACAGCCACTAGTACGCGTAGCGTTTCGGGCAAGTCCTTAATCCTATGGTCCCTGGAATACGATCCCCTGCCGCGAAGAATCGTTTTTTCATCCAAGTACACATTTTACTGTTGCGTTAAACAGAGGCTACAGTTAAGGAATTGCGCCCAGTAAATCCTCCCCGGCCAGGATACGAACCCATGACATAGCGCTCGCGGAACGCCAGGCGAGTGTCTTACCACTACACCACGGAGACAAAATCGCTCATACGAGCCAAAAGTGACGTTCTTTTTAAGAGGACGGGTTGCGTGAAGAGGCCCAGCAGCGCGAGGCTGATGTTCTCTGCCAGCACCAGGCTGGAGAGTGATTGTGGGCGTTCACAAGGAGCACCTAGTGAGACTGTGTATAGGCTGGCCCATGGCTAGGGTAGACTCGTCGGTATTTCCCAGTACTGGTTGAGGACGGTACTGTGTGTTGAGGAAACACGGAAGTTGACAAGGCTGCATTGCATTAGCATAGTGGAGCGCTTAGTGTCCGATGAGTGACACATGTGTATATATCAGTGTAATAATGCTTCGTTTATGATTCTATATAAGGTGATGGGAAAGTGATAATGTGAATATATATATAATTGATGAAGTGTCATATTCCTTTCAACTCCCTCATTGTGTCTTTTTATTACCAAGCTCACTCCTTGAAAGTCGCTACCGACTTGGGGTTGGATACTAGTACTTTGGTTCCTCCAGCAAAGAACCCGGTTGCGACCCATAGTGGCCGTAACACCTTGGTCGACAGAGACCTTGGCTGTATCAAATTGTATATTAGTAAGGTTGTTAAAAATAGCAGCTTAACATAGAGGACGACACAGATGCTACAGAAACTCAACAAGCCCAGATTCAAGAAAGCAAATACTGGTTTGGAAATAGGGCGGCTGACTTATGGAACAAATTACCGGGTTACGTAATATATGTGGGATCGCTGGATTGTTTCAAGCGTAGGTTAGACATATATATTAACGAGTTTGGGGTGGGTATAAATACGTACAGGCCAATAGGAGCTACCTCTTATAAGCCAATAGGGACTGCCTCGTATGGACCAATAAGAGCTGCCTCTTATGGGACCAATAGGAGCTGCCTCAGATGGGCCAATAGGTCTTTTGCAGTTTCCTACATTCTTAAGGCCTGACACACGCCCGCGTGCGCGCGCGCACAAACTTCTTTCTAAGGCAGCTACTCTTGTTTAACTGAATTTGCAAACTCTTTAAGAGATCACAGCGGCCATAACTCTCCAGAGAACTTAGTGGTCGTAACCGGAAAGCAGATCTTAGCAGCGTACATTTTCCTCTGGTAGGAATCGTTAAGAAGCGCGCAAATTCAACATCTTTAGTGAAAGTAAATGCATTGAGAAAGTACACTTTCAATACAGCTTCACTTAGAATAGGTACAAATTAGCCGCTTGTCAAAGCGTAAAACCGTGAAAAAAATCGCTGGGTGAATTTTGACTGCGACTGTCTTGTTAATCTGATCGGAGGTGAATGGCGGTTCATTACTGTAGATCAATTATCACAACGCCCCTCTATTGTCTGCGGCAGTTGTGGAGGTCATGGTGGGGTCGCTCATCATCATGTTTACGAAGGTTCCCGCTTGCCTCACCTTGTTTGATACGTGTATTGACCAGATTAGTACACTCTCCTCCCAGCCCGGAGACCTCACGTGCGTCTCTCTCTTTATTTATTTATTTATTTATATACAAGAAGGTACATTGGGTTAGAGAGAATACATAGCATAGTATTTACAATCTTGTAAAGCCACTAGTACGCGCAGCGTTTCGGGCAGGTCCTTAATCTAACAGATAATTTTAAGTAGGTAAATTCTAGCAGAATTAATAAAATAACAGATACATTGCAAGAAAAAAATGAGATGAGAGAGATTATTAAGTATATTAAAGCACATTGGTATATTAAAGCTGTGATTGATTACATTACATGTTCTCACGCTCCACGCAGGACACAGCCACACAGAACGCCACCCAGGACTCAGCCACACAGAACGCCACCCAGGACTCAGCCACACAGAACGCCACCCAGGACTCAGCCACACAGAACGCCACCCAGGACTCAGCCACACAGAACGCCACCCAGGACTCAGCCACCCAGGACACAGCCACACAGAACGCCACCCAGGACTCAGCCACACAGAACGCCACCCAGGACACAGCCACACAGAACGCCACCCAGGACACAGCCACACAGAACGCCACCCAGGACACAGCCACACAGAACGCCACCCAGGACACAGCCACACAGAACGCCACCCAGGACACAGCCACACAGAACGCCACCCAGGACTCAGCCACCCAGGACACAGCCACACAGAACGCCACCCAGGACACAGCCACACAGAACGCCACCCAGGACACAGCCACACAGAACGCCACCCAGGACACAGCCACACAGAACGCCACCCAGGACACAGCCACACAGAACGCCACCCAGGACACAGCCACACAGAACGCCACCCAGGACACAGCCACACAGAACGCCACCCAGGACACAGCCACACAGAACGCCACCCAGGACACAGCCACACAGAACGCCACCCAGGACACAGCCACACAGAACGCCACCCAGGACACAGCCACACAGAACGCCACCCAGGACACAGCCACACAGAACGCCACCCAGGACTCAGCCACACAGAACGCCACCCAGGACTCAGCCACCCAGGACACAGCCACACAGAACGCCACCCAGGACTCAGCCACACAGAACGCCACCCAGGACACAGCCACACAGAACGCCACCCAGGACACAGCCACACAGAACGCCACCCAGGACACAGCCACACAGAACGCCACCCAGGACACAGCCACACAGAACGCCACCCAGGACACAGCCACACAGAACGCCACCCAGGACTCAGCCACCCAGGACTCAGCCACACAGAACGCCACCCAGGACACAGCCACACAGAACGCCACCCAGGACACAGCCACACAGAACGCCACCCAGGACACAGCCACACAGAACGCCACCCAGGACACAGCCACACAGAACGCCACCCAGGACACAGCCACACAGAACGCCACCCAGGACACAGCCACACAGAACGCCACCCAGGACACAGCCACACAGAACGCCACCCAGGACTCAGCCACCCAGGACTCAGCCACACAGAACGCCACCCAGGACACAGCCACACAGAACGCCACCCAGGACACAGCCACACAGAACGCCACCCAGGACACAGCCACACAGAACGCCACCCAGGACACAGCCACACAGAACGCCACCCAGGACTCAGCCACCCAGGACTCAGCCACACAGAACGCCACCCAGGACACAGCCACACAGAACGCCACCCAGGACACAGCCACACAGAACGCCACCCAGGACACAGCCACACAGAACGCCACCCAGGACACAGCCACACAGAACGCCACCCAGGACACAGCCACACAGAACGCCACCCAGGACACAGCCACACAGAACGCCACCCAGGACACAGCCACACAGAACGCCACCCAGGACACAGCCACACAGAACGCTTTACCTGCAAGTCATTAGAGCTCTTGCCTCTAATATTTTATCACATTTAAAAATTAAACAAAAGATTCGTCAACGAAGTGCGAGAGAAAGTGTGTGAGTGTGGGTGAGTGTGTGAGTGTGGGTGAGTGTGTGAGAGTGTGTGAGAGTGTGGGTGAGTGTGTGAGAGTGTGGGTGAGTGTGTGAGAGTGTGTGAGAGTGTGGGTGAGTGTGTGAGAGTGTGTGAGAGTGGGTGAGTGTGTGAGAGTGGGTGAGTGTGTGAGAGTGGGTGAGTGTGTGAGAGTGGGTGAGTGTGTGAGAGTGGGTGAGTGTGTGAGAGTGGGTGAGTGTGTGAGAGTGGGTGAGTGTGTGAGAGTGGGTGAGTGTGTGAGTGTGGGTGAGTGTGTGAGTGTGGGTGAGTGTGTGAGAGTGGGTGAGTGTGTGAGAGTGGGTGAGTGTGTGAGAGTGGGTGAGTGTGTGAGTGTGGGTGAGTGTGTGAGAGT